TGGCACCATTGATAAAACGGTTTCACAGTGAAACTTTCACTTTTTGATCGACTGAGTTTAGCAACTAAACTGGGAGCCGCAACTAAACTTTAGTTGAGAATAGGGCTACAAGAAGAAGTATCAGATTCTGATAGTCGGAAGATCTGTAGCCATCTGGGAAAAGCAAGTATCGATCACACGGGCGCTCGCTGATTTTCATTGGCATAGGATTCTCTTGCACGCGCACGTGAGGACCTTACGGTGAGGTTCCTCCAGGATGCTCTTCCTGTTTCATAGAAGAAGGCGATCACCATATGTTAGCTATCCTCTGCTATCACTTTGTACTACACATGTCTATCGAAATAAAAGACGACACTCCATTCGATCCGAGTGTTTCGCCACGCGGAGAAGAATTAACTGGTAATAAGCAACTTCGCAGCAGAACCCCGCGCAGCATACTGTAGGCTTAGCGGCTAAGCCTTAGCCTACTCGGCTATGCTGATCAGCGACTGAGTACTCAAACTGCGATGTTGCATAACGAGTTGAGTATTCAGTCGCTGACCAAGACGAACTTATTGAATACGAATTCAACCAAGGGCGAGGGACGTGAAGAACTGACTTGAGCCAGACTTCTGCTCGGCATAGTTCGTCATGTGTTTTATTCTATGAAATTAAGTGAATGAATAAGCTTTATCAACTGAGAGTTTTGTAATAATACCGATCTTATTTTGTTTAATCCATTATTTGTCGTTCTCTTAGATACCTTCCGCGGGAAACTAAACGTAGACGTTGTCACTACTGGTGATACAACGGCTGCGAACTCTGAGACGGTTCCGTGCACTGGAGGCCTCAGCACTACGAGTGGGGTTGAAAACCCTACTTTTCCCGGTAATAATGATCTTGAAGATGACCCTGAGATCTTAGAAGACGGTGAGATCGAGGAGGTCCACTTCATCTTCCGCGTTGACAAAGACACCCGCAAGAGATGCCTTGAGCGCTGGCGTCTACGAGCCGCAGAACTTCCAACAGTGAAGAGTGTCACTGAATGTCAGAAACAACCAGATGAGCAACGTGTGGTTGGGACGATGGGATGCTTGATAGACTTTGGTTGCACTGAGACTGTGCTGGGGTTCTTCAGCTCTGCTGTATGCTCTAGTCTCGCTCGTAGTGGCGGCTGCTCAGGGCCGTGGGATTTAAACTTCAGTGACTTGGCTTCTGCGTGCGTGGTGGAGGTATCTGACGACAGCCTTTGTTTCCCACTGAAGCTCATGCAGGGCAAGCACATCTCCCGATTGGTCTTGAGGATGCATCAAGACTGGCAAATGATGAAGCAGGCCTCAGATCTTGACGATTTCAGCCGAGAAGAAGTGGAAGACTTAGACGAGTTTTTCTCGCTCATTATGAACTTCTTCCCGATAACCTTGCGCAATACGATGAAGTTGGTTATCCCTAGCAGTTTGGGTATCATGAATCGTGCGAAGGCCTCAGAAGCTCTACTGGTTATGCAAAGTATCGCTAGAAACCTACAGGAGACGAATGTGGTACAGAAAACACCGGTGAGTATACTTCGTGCATTCTACACTGTCTTTGAGAAGCTTCC